GGAGTCGAGTGTTTGTTTGTTTGATGGCCTTTCCTTTTTTGTTATTGCTTTATTCATCAATGTTTCATCAAACTTAATAATATTACCTCTGTCCAGGAGTGTTTTATTCATACAATTTAACTCATTAACCAAATAGAGTCATTATCCCCAACGAGGATCGAACTCTGACCTCTCATATGGTAGAGTCATCATTATGTTTTGAAAATATGAGGAAATATAGTTAAAAGACCAAAATAGGAGCAAAATTGATTACTAAAAAAACACGACATAGGATATGTATATTCTAAGTATTAGAGTTTGCTCAGTAAGATTAACAACTTATTACTGTAAACCTTAATATGCAAATCATTATTGCATCTTAACTCTATTGAACAACTACACTCCCTGAGCAAGTGAACATGTCATTAAATAATACTCCGTAACAATCAAAACCTAATGTTATAAACCATATGAAACTCCCAAACCCCAACAACATAGATGTAATCACATTTATATTTTCCTTATGCAATTGTGCACTTCATGTGGCGGAGAAGAATCATGATTTTTTAAATCGTAAAATTATAAGATCCGAAATCCAAGTTTTTAAAATAAATGCGGGAAAGAAGAATAATAGAATCAGTTATGTTTTTGTAGTATATTTTTTTGAATTAAGGGGTGAGAAGAATTATGTTTATAGAAATTTAGCAAACCTAAATATTTTATATATAAAATTTAAATGGTTTATACCATAAAAATCAAGTTTTTTTAATATTCCATATTGTAGAATCAAAAATAATTTCGTTCAACTCATGCATAGCACGGGTTAAAATACTAGTTAGTACGGAGTATATTATAATGGAGAAAAGTTATATCTCATGCATTCCACGAGTTAAAATGCTAGTAAACACATTCTTAGTGAGTTGAAAGAATTGAAAAAAGAAATTTGTTGAAAAAGGTGAAGAAAACTCTTATAGAAAAAAGAAAAAACTCGATACACAATTTTTAACTAATTGCTTAAAGACATAAGAGTAATAATTGTATACCCTCTCCGTCTCAGTCACCCTGTTTGACTTTTAATATCACAGTGGACAAATTTTAATAATCAATTACTATCCATTTGTATCCCATATTAATGCAAATAAATAAAATTATGAAAGTTTCAAACAAGATAAATCTAATTAAATAATTTTTTTACTAATATATATTATAGTTTTTATTTAATTGAAACCTAAAATTCATTCAATTTGACTAACAAAAGTTAAAGTGGACGAATATACTGGAATAAAAGTAGTATATTAATAAAATTCTCTCATATACGAAAATAAAAAAAAGTACGAAGAAATACTTTTGAAAAAAAATAATGCCATTTTTTTAACCTGCACTAGCAGGTTAAAAGGAAAGATAGTGGCATTTTTGACAAGTAATAAAAAGTTTACTGGCAATATAGTAACAAAATAAAACAGTGGTATTTTTGACAAAATATTATAGTTCGGTGTCATTTTTTTAACTACACTAAAGTTATCCATCCCCCCTTCGGCGCTTATAAGTTTAGGGAGATACTGTTAGTACCGAAAATGGTTTCACTGTTGATATTTTGCATCATAAGTCACTTACTCATAACCAACTCCAATGTGCAAACAAGGAATCTTGTCACGTTGAAGTAGTTATTTTAGTAAACAAAAAACCTTTCTTAAAGAAAATATGTGCTTTAGCTATTATCTGAAACAGGAAAATTAGGAGTGAAAAACCTGCAATACTCCACCTATACTTAATTTTTCCTTAACAAGTGAAGGGGAGCCCTCTGAAGATCCCTGAAGATATAAAAGGGTGGTTGGCAAGTTGAGTTATCTGATAGTCATTCGTCCAGAGAGAATCTCATATGCAGTGTGTGGCAAGTCAATATATGTAGACCTAGCAATCGGGTCAATCGGTTCAGTTCCAATTCGGGTCTTTACAGTTCACGTCTCATTGGGATATATATTATAATCGGTTTGGATCGGGTCAATTCGGTTCGGGTCAGTTCTGAAAGAGTGATTTGATTTCTTGAATAATACAGAAAATTCACCTCCCTTTATGTATACAAAGGAGGGGTTACAATAATGGTAATTACAATAATAATAAATAATGATTTCTATACAATAAGGTAAGTTACCAAAGTTAATATAATCAATATTAAATATGGAATATTTAACATGCTCCCAACTATCCCGGCGAGGGACGAACTCCAAGGTTATGTCGGCAAACTGGGATGATGACGGAACGTGTAAGACACGCACATGTCCAAGGGTAACTTTGTCTCAGAAAAAGTGAATATCAACTTCGACGTGCTTGGTGCGCTGGTGCTGAACCGGGTTTGAGGACAAGTAAACTGCACTGACGTTGTCACAAAAAATAATGGTGGCTTTGCGAAGGGGTTGGTGTAGCTCGAGCAGGAGATTTCGAATCCAAGTGGCCTCGGCAACGGCATTGGCAACAACACGGTATTCTGCTTCAGCACTGGATCGAGATGTGGTGGCCTAGCGTTTGGAAGACCAAGAGACTAGATTATCACCGAAGAAGACACAGTAGCCTGATGTGGATCGTCGTGTGTCAGGGCAATCAGCCCAATCAGCATTAGAATATGCTTGAAGCGAGTCAGTAGAAGAACGGGAGAGAGTGATGCCATGAGTAGTTGTACCATGTAAATAGCGTAGGACTCTCTTTAATGCAGTGAGGTGCGTGCTCCGCGGGCAGTGGAGATGGAGACAAAGCTGTTGGACTGCATAGGTAAGATCGAGTCGGGTGAAGGTGAGATACTGAAGCGCCCCAACCAAAGAGCGATACATAGAGGGGTCAGTGACGGGCTCTCCAGACTCGGCTGCGAGCTTCCCTTTGGTGTCGACCGGCATAGAGATGGATTTGCATGTGAGCATACCGGCACGTTCCAATATTTCATGAGCAAACTGTGTTTGATGTAGGAAGAGGCCCTTTTTTGTGCGTTGAACAGTGATGCCGAGAAAGAAATTAAGTTCCCCCATATCCGTCATAGCAAACTCTCCTTTTAACCGTTGTGTGATATGAGAGAGTAGGAGAGTGGATGAGGCCGTGAGAACGATGTCATCAACATATAATAGGAGATATGCTATATGAGTCCCTTGTGTGTAGACAAATAGGGAAGTATCAGCCATGCAACCATGAAATCCGATCTGATGTAGAAAACCTGCAAAGCGCTGATACCATGAACGTGGTGCCTGTTTTAAACCATACATGGCCTTCTTCAGTTTGCATACATAGTGAGGGCGGGATGGATCCTGAAACCCTTATGGTTGGCAAGCATAAACAGTTTCCTGAAGGTTTCCATTGAGAAACGCGTTTTTGACGTCCAGCTGATGGATGGGCCAACCGCGAGCAAGAGCCAAACTGAGGACAATGCGAATGGTAGCTGGTTTAATAACCGGACTAAAAGTTTCGCCATAGTCAACGCAGAAACACTGATTGAACCCTTGGACAACCCAACGAGCTTTGTACCTGGCTAGATCACCTGTGGGGCCAAATTTGTGCTGAAAAAACCATTTTCCAGAGATAACATTTTGGTTGGGGGAGGGGGGAACTAGTTCCCATGTGTTTTTCTTTATCAAAGCATTAAATTCATCACACATTGCATCATACGAGTTTGGATCTTTGAGGGCACTACGGTAAGTTGGGGGTAGGGGGGAGATGTGCACCGTGGTGTTAAGGTTTATGATGTGTTTAGGGCGAGAGATGCCAGATTTGGCACGGGTGGTCATGGGATGAATGTTTTGGGTAGTGGTTATGGGTTGGGTACAACTACGAGATTCGAGTTGGGGTTGTTCGGCATGGGATGTTGTGAGTGGGCGGTGTTGCTGTTGGGTCGAGAGTGAGGGTTGAGGTTGTTGGACCAATAGTGGGATGGAAGCTGAGGGGCGGGTTTGGGCTTGGGCCGAAGGGGTGGGAGGATTGGACTGGTTTGTGGATGCCGTGGGATGGCCCAACTCATATGGGCTGTGATGGAGGTGATACGGGACGGAGTCATCCCCAGCGTCAAGGAAATTGAAATCGGTGGGGGAGATTTGGTGATCAAATGGAAAAGCTGACTCATCGAAGGTGACGTGTCGGGATACGATAATTTTGTTGGTGGAGAGGTCCAGACAACGGAACCCGCATTGATTCGACGGGTAGCCGAGGAAGATGCATCGAGTAGAGCGAGGTGATAGTTTATGAGGGGTAGTTGCGGAAGTGTTAGGGTAATAGAGACAGCCAAAGACACGCAGGTGGGAGTATGTGGGTGGAGCACCAAAGAGAACCTCGTGGGGAGTGCGTAGGTGAAGGGTGGTGGTGGGTAGGATATTAAAAAGGTGACATGCCATGTGAAGGGCTTCGACCCAGTAGTCAGGGGGAAGTCCAGCTTGGAATAATAGGGTCCGGACGGTGTTGTTAATGGTACGGATCGTACGCTCAGCTCGGCCATTCTGTTGACTAGTATGGGGGCACGAAAAACGAAAAAGGATGCCAAGAGAGTTAAACATATGTTGGAGAGGAGTGTTGCGGTATTCGGTACCATTATCACATTGCACAGCTTTAATATTAGTATTAAATTGACTTTTCACATAAGCTAAAAAATTAGTAAGTTGAGAGAAAGCGTCAGATTTGTGCCGAAGAGGGAACACCCATAAATAGTGGGAGAAATCATCTAGAAGAAGCATATAAAATTTAAAACCAGTAACACTAGGAATTGGAGATTGCCATAAATCAGTGTGCATTATTTGAAAAGGAAAAGTAGAAACACGAGAAGAGGGATAAAAGGGAAGACGAACATGTTTCCCCAGTTGACAAGCATGACAAAGAGAATGTTGAAAATGTTTATCAATTAAAAATACTACCTCTGTCTCAGAGTATTTGTCCACTTTCATTTTTACACACCATTCAATACACTTCTTTAATCCATTTTATCTTGTAATTTGTATATTAAAAAATTATAGAAGTTATATATTAATAATCTATATGTTAAGACAAATCAAACAAGATCACACATGACTATATTTAAGCTTACACATTGAGAGAATTTGATGAGTCAAAGTGCTTAGATGAACAGTTCCAAAAGTCAAAACTGGACGAATACTCCGAGACGGAGAGAGTATAAATTTGGAATGCCACGTAGGACCGCAATGCTTGGATGGCCAAGGCGACGATGCCATGTCTGGGCGGTTGTGGCAACGTTGACCTGGGCATAATTGTCTAGTGGTCGCAGGTGATAGAGAGGGCCGTCATTATTGGATCAATGAATCACGGTGCCCATCCGAGAATCCTTCACAGAAAAGCCATTAGACTCAAATTCAACAGTGCAATTGTTATCACGAGTAAACTAACGAACAGAGATGAGATTGTGGATGATATAGGGGGAAACGAGGACATTATTAAGGGAAAGGGGCGGGGTTGTGGGAAACACGTGATTTCCAACTGCCGTAGTGCGAACTTTAGAACCATTACCAACAGTGATGAATGATGGTGAATTTAAAGTTTGAGAAGAAACATGAGAAATAGTACCTAGGTCAGAAGCAATGTGGTGGGAAGCTCCAGTGTCCATGATCCACGAAGGTTCCCGTAGGGTCATGGTGTCAAANAATATTGGTTTGGGATTTGGGTAGGGACTGGGCGGGTAGGAGGGTTGGGCTAGGTATGCATGGGCCGAGTAGAAAGGTGAGTTTGGGCGAGGTCCCAAAAGGCCAGGACCCAAGTTTGGGTAAGTGATCTGCCTTGGTACGCTGCTGCTAGTATGTTGCCGAGAATATGTCCTAGGGTTCCGGCTGCGACCACGTCCTCGGTTTGAGCGCCCGCCGCCACGTCCGCCACTGCCGGTGCCAGAAACACGGTTGCTGCTTCTGTTTTGTTGCCCGATGTTGTCGCTGCCATAGGAGGGACCGGACTGATGTCCGGCGTTGTGACTGGGCCGCCCACCACCGGTTGCTGCCAAAACGGTAGAACCTTCTCCGCCACTGTCCGTCGGCCGTTGTAGGCCCTCCAAGAGGAGGGCTGACCGAGTCTCCATAAAGGTGGGCTGCGGCTTCTGGAATTGCAGGAACGAGGCTCGGGCACCAAGATCTTCAGGTAGGCCGCGTAGAGTTTGCAGAACGAGTTGACCTTCGGTGACTGGTGCATCGACATCATCGAGCCGGTCGGCTATGTTGCGGAGATTCTGACAGTAGGTGTTGATCGAGGAGGAGCCTTTAACGGTGTTATAGAACTTTTGCTCCAATTGCATGGCCCGAGCGGCCTTGTTGTCATGGAAGAGATTGTGAATGGATTTCCATAGATCTGCGGCAGAGGTAGTCGAAGAGATGACGAGATCGGAGACTTCGTCATTGACGGTGGATAGAATCCACCCTTGGATGAGGGCATTGAGTTGTATCCACTCGATGTCATCTTTGCCGGTGGGTAAGGCCGTGCCGTTGAGGTAGGCTTCAAGATTGAAGCGTCGAATTAGGAGAAGAAAGAGACGGCTCCATTTTTTGTAGTTAGGTTCTGAAAAACTGAGGAGAGTGGGAACGTGGAGCTTGATGTTGGACACCGTTGTGAAGGCAAGGTGAGGAGGGTTGGGATAGTAGTTGAAGAAGAGGTTGTTTTGTCGGAGGACATGGTGACTGCCGCTGTGTTCCGAATGAGAGGAAAAAGGGAAAAAGAAAAAGAGAGTGGGCTGCTGTGTGATTTCGGCAGAGGGCAGAGGGGACTGCTGTTTAAGGAGAAGAAGAAAAGGGCTGTGTGCGGCAGTGAGGAGAAGAGGGATACGGTATTAGCTTAGGCTCCGATACCATGAAAGAGTGATTTGATTTCTTGAATAATACAGAAAATTCACCTTCCTTTATGTATACAAAGGAGGGGTTACAATAATGGTAATTACAATAACAATAAATAATGATTTCTATACATTAAGGTAAGTTACCAAAGTTAATATAATCAATATTAAATATGGAATATTTAACAAGTTCGGTTCTGGGTTTATTTCAGTTTGACTAGTTTTTGGTTTCAGTTCGATTTTGGTTCAGATTTGTATCGGTTCGGGTTTATATCAGATCGAGTTTATATTGGTTCGGATTTGTATCAGTTCGGGTTTGTATCGGTTCGAGTTTATATCGATTCGGGTTTATATCGATTTAGGTTTATATTAGTTCAGATATATTTTAAATATGTACTAATAAATCAATAATATCACATAATAAATTTAATCAATTTATGATATACTCCGTAGTTATTTTATTATTTAACATGGATGTACATAAAAAATAACACTTATATAATTTGACTAATTGTTCACATTCTAAAGTTTTCCCTCAAGTTTTCGGTGCAATCTTTTTAGTTAACATTAACTTCGTACTTCCTTTATTTCTGTTTAACTATCCATTTCACTCTTTGTGTCAAATATTTGAATAATTATAAATAAAAATATATAATGAATTAAAATATATAGAGTAAAAGTTATTGCCAAACTGATGGTATTAAGAAAACAATTTAAATGTATTATTTTTAATATTTTTTACTAATATTTTTGAAGAGACAATGTTGGTCAAACTTTAAGTTTGAAGGCAATAAAATAGAAAAACACTTTCACTTAAGTTATAAATTACGGAGTAAAAGATTTGTACATGAAAGTAGTTACACGGTTTGCACCCATAATTTAAATATGTTTTTTTAGAAACACATCAACATATGTAAAAATATATAGGTAATTCTTTTTCTCCAAGTTCATTTGATAAATGAAAAATTGATGAATTTTCGGTATAATCAGTTTCGGGTCTAATCGGTTCTGGGTTTAACCAGGTTCGGGTTTAATCGGTTTGGGTTAAATTGGATTCAGATCTGAATACATTCAGTTCGGGTTTGGTTCAGATCATTTTGGATGTTCAATTTTATTTTGGTTCTTCAATTTCTAGTCAATTCGGGTTCGATTCTGGGTTATTCGGTCGGGTTATCGGATCTAGGTCAGTTTTGCTAGGTGTAAATATATGTCTTCAATTGTTGTCATTGGTATGTATAGAACATACTTTGTGTTATTTAAAAAGAATTCCTAGACATGGTATTGTATACCAAAACCATGACCATACTAAAATTGAGTGTTTTACAAATGCTGATGGGCAAGTGAAAGGAAGATCAAAGGTCTAAAGTTTCTTTGTTGTTGGTCCAAAGTGTCTTCGTTGGTCAATTCCAGAATCAAAATGCAGAAGTGCAGCACAATCTCTGTGTATATTACGGAGTATATATGGTTATGAAACTTATTGAATGAGACTGGCTACAAGGCTTCAATTCTAGCGCACAAAAAACTGGTTTGTAAATGAAGACACTACTATATAATGCATCTAATTTCTCATGACACAAAGTACATTGAAGTTCATTGTCATTTTGTCCTAGAAAAACATAGAAAGCCGTACTAAACTAAGTGAAACACTGATAACACACTGTGCGTGAATTTCTATTTAAAACTTTTGGTTTGTTGCTTCTTCGTACTGGGAGAGAGCTTTTCCTCTTCTTTGATCTGTTTGTTCTCCTTTCGCTTCTGAGATGCCTGGTGATAAGCATTGACATTAAGTTTGGATCCTGGGACGATAATATGTTTTTCTTCACCGATCTCTTGAGTTGACAATGGCAACTCTTTGGAATATACACTTACACATTTCTCAACAGCAGGCGCGACATTTTTGGCTTGTGGTGACGGAGGGTTAAATCTACAACGTTTATTTACAAACCAAAAACATCGCGCCTGCTGTTGAGCAATGTGTAAATGTAGATTCCGAAGAGTTGCCATTGTCAACTCAAGAGATCGGTGAAGAAAAACATATTACCGTCCCAGGATCCAAACTTAATGTCAATGCTTATCACCAGGCATCTCAGAAGAGAAAGGAGAACAAACAGATCAAAGAAGAGGAAAAGCTCTCTCCCAGTACGAAGAAGCAACAAACCAAAAGTTTTAAATAGAAATTCACGCACAGTGTGTTATCAATGTTTCACTTAGTTTAGTACGGCTTTCTATATTTTTTTAAGACAAAATGACAATGAACTTCAATGTGCTTTGTGTCATGAGAAACTAGATTAGATGCATTATATAGTAGTGTCTTAATTTACAAACCAGTTTTTTGTGCGTTAGAATTGAAGCCTTGTAGCCAGTCTCATTTAATAAGTTTCAGAACCATATACTCCGTAATATACACATAGATTGTGCTGCACTTCTGGATTTTGATTCTGCAATTGACCAACAAAGACACTTTGGACCTTTGATCTTTCTTTCACTTGCCCAATCAGCATTTGTAAAACACTCAATTTTAGTATGACCATGGTTTTGATATACAATACCATGTCTAGGAGTTCCTTTTAAATAACACAAAGTATGTTCTATACATACCAATGACAACAATTGAAGACGTATATTTAGACCTGGCAAAACTGACCCGGACCCGATAACCCGAACCGAATAACCCGGAACCAAACCCGAATTGACCCAAAAATTGAAGAACCGAAATAGAACCGAACATCCAAAATGATCCGAGCCAAACCTGAAACGAACCCGATTCAGATCCGAATCTGATTTAACCCGAACCGATTAAACCCGAACCTGGTTAAACCCGAAACTGATTAGACCCGAAGTTGATCAAATGCATTAATATTTCATTTATCAAATGAAGTAGGAGAAAAAGAATTACCTATATATTTTTGAAGATGGAGGGAGTATATGTTAAAAAATTGGTCTAGTTCAACCAATTAAATCACAATCTTTCAGGAGATTCTACAAATTCTGCAACTCAACTTACCTATTTTAAGCCAGGCAAAAAATTCTCAAAATAAGCAAGGGTTAAAGGAAAAGTAATAACACAGTAGTAATAAACTGATAACAGTTGTCAGTCAATTACAAATGCTAGAATGGGAATACACAAACCTGCCGAACTGTCAGTCCTAATTCTTTAGCCAAGCTTTCCTTGACTTCTCGTTTTGGATAGTGATTTTCCTTGAAGGATTCAGAGAGCCTCTGCAACAGAGAGAATTTTAGGTATGCATGCCTAACTGAAGAAATGAATAGAAGCTAAAGGCGGATGCTCATAGAAACACATTTATTGAAGTGGTAGAACCGTTTTGCATGTTAACTTAGGTTTAGATATAGTAAGAGAAACAGCTCGCATTCGGCAAATACAAGTAAAAGTTTTTTGAAGAAACAGAAATTACACCACAATTCTTTATTAGTAAGTCTGGTGTGCAAACAGTTGGGGAAAAAGAGCAGCTCTATTAAACATAAACAAATCATTATCACCTTAATTACATCATCCCCATGTTTTAATCTTGTGTTTCTTGTACTACTTGAAGCACATTCACATTCCACCAAGTTTTCAGCCTTCCGCTTCTTGCTAGATGTTCTAGAAGCATTCTTGACAGTAGTATCCACTAGACTTAGATTAGATGACTTAAGAGCAGCTTTGTCACTTCTTTTCCATTTGTTTTTGGAAGCTAAATTATCCTCACAATCTTCGTCAGTAGAGTCAGATGATGCAATTCCAAACGTTTCCTACAGGTGTAAACAAATTAAGATGGAAACTATGCAGTCAGATTACCGATTACCGTTTAAGATGGAAAATTGGCATTGCATGAATATGAACCAAGCCTGAGGGTAATCCCACCATATCATCCAACTGCTTCCCAGATGCTGCTGCTGCAGCCACCTCATGGAAAATTGGCATTGCATGAATATGAACCAAGCCTGAGGGTAATCCCACCATATCATCCAACTGCTTCCCAGATGCTGCTGCTGCAGCCACCTCTTGAAACACCTTCTGCATAGCACATAAGCCCTTGATTAGATTTTAGGATTGAAGGATAAGATAAGAAAATCCAATTTGAGCAAATGCCAGACCTCCCAACTGTCAGTTATAGAAAGATCAGTTCCCAATAAAGCATTAAGCAAGTCAACACAATAAACTTTGCAGTCACACCCAGGACACAGCCAGCCTTCATCATCTGTAGGGACAAATTTAGGAAATTTCAACCTAATTAAAAGGACAGAAGAATTGAGCAAGTTCCAAAAGCAAACCCAAATTAGATAAAGATAAAAAGTAAATAAAAAATGACAAAAGGATAAAAAAAGGAAAAAAAGAACAAAACAAAAGCAAACCCTAAAGATGGAGTATGACCTAATACGCTAAAAAAGACAAAATCAAACAATTTTGAGGAGCGGGTCAAAGTGCAGATCCAACCCAGCATGGCCCTTCTTCTTGTTTCCGTGCCGCGACTCTGCAATAGGCCATTGCCAAATACTTCCTATCCATGGCGGTTCCGATTCGTCTCCAGTGTAATCTGAGAAAAAGAAAAAACTACAAAACCACCCCACCGCACCCATCGCGCACCGCCGCACCCGAACCGGAACGGTGCTTTGTGTGCCTGTATTTTGCCGCATCTGTGCTTCCTGAATACTATCACCTACATCTTCACTATAAATCCGCCCCTCTGAGTCAAACAATGATTCTGGTAACTGCCCCTGAGAAAGTGATGTGTCTATGCGTGAAAATAACTCTCTAACTTTCAGCTTGTAATGAAAAATCCCAGATTTTGCACGTTGAAGCTTCTTCTCAGGTTTTATTTTTTTTAAGCTGAAAAGGAAAGAGAGTAAACATAAATGGCTGATCTATAAATAGATGGAAATACTTGAAATGAAAAACAATTAATCTTTTGCCTAGTCATTAGATGGATTGGGGAGAACACAAACCTTTGACCTTTCCAGCCTTCACCAGAGTAAGCATCAATTATGCTCTGTTTATATTGTATTCGCCTCAGTAAATACTTTAGTCGGAATTTCATCCCCAATGATTCATTTGCAGTGATCTGTTTCCTCCGCTTTCTTTTCCTCGTTTTTCTTTTCTTTTCTTTTGTTGGAATTTTCAGCTGCTGAAGCATTTGTTGTTTCTGAAGATTTAGGCTTTTCTTGTGCTTTTGAGCACAATACTCTACTGCTGGTTATTGGTGATCTCAAAGCAGATACCCTTTTCCTTGATCTCCCAGAATGCCTTTCATCTCCACATTCTAACTGACTAGGATTTTCATTTGAATCTCTATACATTTCTCTTAGTTCTTGACCTGTACTTTCAGATGTGTCACCGGGCACTACCACTGAATGGTTAGCTATAGGAATTTCTTCCCCTCTTTCATCTGGAACTTCAAAAGAAGTTGTTAGTAAGTTTGTGAGAAAGTTGTTAAGGTGTTGCTAAGTGTATATATATACAAGTCTAGAGCTGTAATCTGGAATCAAGAAATAATGCAATCTCCCAAATCTATTTCTCTCTCTATTCCTCTCTTTTTCTCTCCTCTCCCTCTCGATAATATCTCTTTCTTCCCCCCAAAATATCTCTCAATTCTGTTAACCTCCATTGGAGGGTTCTCAGAGCTTTTCAAGCTGTAACAATGCAATCTTCAACGAAAAAATGGACAAGTCTAATCCAATGGGAGTAAAATCAAGAGGCATAAAATCCTTACCCTTTGAAATCAACTACTACGTTGGTGATATTTATTGCTTGTCCAGGGCGCTGATGTATAGGAGACCTCCTTCGCTGCTCAAAGACTAACATTTGCTGGTTGGTGACAAAATGAAAGTCCTCGGCTACTGATTCCTCCGATCGAGATTCAATCAGCCAGGTAGCGACGTAGCGGGAGAGATTTGCGACCCTATTTTCTCCTCGCAGGCTCGGAGGAAGAGACCAAGTTTTCTCTTCTTCTTCTCTATCTGATCCCTCTTTTCTCTCTACTATTTTGAGTTGTGAGTGAATCCTCTTGTCAATAAATGTGCACTCCATCTTTAAATCAGACCAAAGAAATAGTGTAACATAAATCTTCTTAGACATTATTCACATGATTAAATTTTATTAATTTTGTTTGCTCATTTTTACTAGTCATTTTGTAAAATAATATAGTCTTGTCATCTCTAGTTTTGTAGAATTTTTCATGTAGTTTATTACTACGGAGTATATTACATTTATTTTAAAATTTTACTCCTATAATCAATTAAATTGAATTGAAAAAGTCGGTCAAGCCTCGTAACACATAACGGGAAGAACTTAGGTGGACGGAGGGAGCACATTTTAGGGGGACTTGGCTCTTAAATACTCCGTAAAAAACATACTCAATAACTAATAAATCCACATTTCACTCATTTTTAAAATCCAACGAGCATAATTTAATTAATGATGCAAAAGATAACTAAAAACCCCATTTTTTAAAATAAAACATATTTTATTGTCTAAAATGCAGAAATATAGAAAATATGCTCAATTAAGTGGGTGTTTCTACAAGCGGGTAAAAACTGTTTATAAGTAGTTTTTAACTTATAAGAGTCTGTTCTCTAGAACTTATTTTTTTCTACTTATTACTTATTCTTATTAAAATCAGATTAGATCAGATCTAATCAGATCAGATCATATTCAATCAGATCAGATCTAATCAGATCAGACCAGATCCAATCAGATCAGGCCACATCAAATCTAAGAATATCAAATCAGGAAAAAAATATAAAAAATATTTATATTTTTCAAGGATTAAAAAATAATTACTATTATTTGATTAAATAACATTATTTTATTTAAAGCTACGCACGCCTAAATCTTAATTAATATTACTCTCTCCGTCCTAAAACTTTCTTCCCACTTCTTCTTTTTCTCCGTCCTAAAACTACCTTCCCATTAGAAAAAAAGATGACAAATGGCATTAATACCCTTTTGTATTTACACCAATTATCTTCTAACTCTATATTTTGAATGATTGCAAAAAAAAATTAAAAATCTTTTTTAAGGAGGGTAAAATTTGAAGTCAAAGCTAAAAATTTAAAATGGAGAAAAGTCAAACTGAGAAGAAAGTTTTAGGACGGAGGGAGTATAATTTTAACTATTATTATTATATTATTATTATTATTGTTATATTTCAACCACAAACCATTATTTTTAATAATTGCTCAGCTTGTAGGAATGATGCATGGAAGTAATGTTAAAGCTTACAAGTTAATATTTTTGTTACTTAAAAAGAGTTGTTATAAAATACTTGTTTATAAAATAATTATACAAAACTTAATTTTCAAAACCATAAATATGTTATAATTAAAAAGACTTAGGCCATGTTCCGTTCAACTTATTTTTTCTTATTCTTATTAAAATCAGATCAGACCAGATCAGATCAGATCAGATCAGAACAAATCAAATCAGATCAGATCCAATCAGATCAGATTAGACCAGATCTAATCATATCAAATCCAATCAGATCAGATCAGATCCCATAAAGAATTATTATTATTATTATTATTATTATTATTATTATTATTATTATTCTTGTTGTTGTTCTTATTGTTGTTGTTGTTGTTGTTGTTATTCTTCTTCTTAAAAATGAAAAAGAATAAACTTTAGAAACAAGTTAAATAAAAAACTGAGAAATTAATCTTTAATTATTAGACGTCGAAAAAATTATTTTTAAAAAACATTGACAATGTCAATCTAATTCTACTTTTAAAATACATTTTTATTGCTACCTGTAATTTGAGTTTCTAAAGTTTTGATCTTTTATAAGGATGAGATATTTTAATAAAAATACTATCTCTTCCCTGTGTTGATTTTCTATAAATTAAATATTTATTCTAATGTATGTATGAACTAATTATTAAAATATTAAATCAATATTCTTATTTCACAAACAATAATCATAAAATAAAAATACTATTACATTAAAATATGAAGGATTATTCTAATATATAAATTAACTAATTTTATTTTATTAAAAAATAATTATAAAATAAAAAATATTGATTATATTATAATATGAATTACCATTACAATTTTCAAACATTATTATAAACTCAAATGAAATTGTTGATTTGAATTTTAAATCAAATTAAAATTATTAATCAGATTAGATCCAATCAGATGAGATCAGATCAATCAGAAAAAACCAGATCAAATCAGATCCACTCAGATCAGATCTAATCAGATCAGATCAGATGAAATCCAATCATATCAGACCAGACCAGATCAGAACTACAAAAAATCAGATCAGATCAGAAAAAATAAGTTGAACGGAACAGGGCCTTACTTTTAAAATTTAAGATGGTATAATATATACAAGGGTGAGTTTATGACAAAATTGATAGAGGTAAAAGGAATATTAGTGTTTAAGATTTTACTCCCTCCGTCCCCCAGTTTTTGTCCACTTTTGACTTTTGGAACTGTTCATCTAAGCACTTTGACTCATCAAATTCTCTCAATGTATAAGTCTAAATATAGTCATGTGTGATCTTGTTTGATTTGTCTTAACATACAGATTATTAATATATATTTTCTATAATTTTTTAATATACAAATTAAAAGATAAAATGGATTAAAGAAGTGCATTGGATGGTGTGTAAAAATGAAAGTGGACAAATACTCTGGGACGGAGGGAGTATATGATATTTAATTTGTAACATGAAATATATTATTATATAACATGCATATAGAATGTATTTTTTTAAAACAAAATCATCTATGTTTCTAATATTTGGTTATTTTAATGCCAATTATTTAGTTTTCACAAAAATTCAAAAATTAGTGATATTGAAAAGATGTTTAATATTTCAAAAACAGTTTAAATATATCAATGATTAGCTGATTTTCCTATTTTACTTTTATATGTATATATGAATTGTACTACTTTAAAACTATTAAAATTTGTAATAATTTTAAGTTTAATTTAAATCGAATTTATATTCATTTTCACAAGATCTAATTAGATAAAATCAGATCTATTCAGACCAGATCAGATCAGACCCAATCAGATTAGATCTCATCCGATCAGACCTAATCAGATCAGATCAGAACTTCAAAAATTCAGATCAAATTCAATCAGATCAGACGTCCGGAACAGAGGCTAAGTCAGCTGATGACATGTTCTTGTATGCTTATAAGTTGCTCATAATTGAGAAAAAATAAAATGATCTTGGCTACTTATTTTTAAACCTGTTTTTTTGTTTCTCCGTTTTGACCAGATTATTTACAAACCTGTTACTCACTATTTATAAGTACTAGTATTTTTACCCGTGCAACGCACGAGGTCGAATGAAATTTTTGTCGATTTTGAAACTTATTCAATGCAATATTTTTTTGGAATAAAGAAATACTACTGAAAAAAGTGCCAAAGTAGAATAAATAATACTCTTTATTGAGGAAATGAATGTGTATTCAACAAAGCTTGTTTTAATACTAAATTTTCTAAAATACTTCAGGATATACAACCTTTTTTGTATGGTTGCAAATGTTTCCATTGTCATCCAGAACCAATATTTTTAGTCATGTCTTAGTCTTCATTTGTAAAACAATAATATAAAGCTGAGAATGAGCCAACACTGACTTGGTTAAAAATAATCCAACAAATGAGAATGTTTGACGTTAACTTTTATTGATAGTCATTGCAAAACATATGATTATTGAAAATTATCTTCTCTAGAACTTCAGGAGTAGTCCTGGACCAGATGGTACCAAATTCATCTAGATATGTAAACTTTTTCCCCGACTTGATTTTCCAAAACCACAATAGCAATAATAACAATCTTTCACAGTTTTTTACGATTAATCTTATATCATTAAACAATTCAGATGTTTGGTCAATGTTTCTCAATAACATAATTGGTACCTCTTTTTTAAGATTATTTCGTGGTTTGGGATCTCCGAAAATTTGAGTTTATCCAAAAACTGAACTGTTATTCAATCACCATCAATACCTACATTTGAACCTACCTAGAATGAAGATTCAGAACTCAAGTACACCATTACATCACTCAGAATGAGCGATAGAACAAAATCATTTACCATTTCTACAAATCTCGAGTATGGATGCCAGTAGTGCGGTAGTGCCCTATCTTCAAAAAATAATAACTTTGCATATTATCCAATAGGTATGGATAAGTGAAGTCCACTATATATATTCTTGAGAAGATAACTTATGTCTAAAATCAAAAATTTAGGCGGAATTTCAGCGTTAGTTATTTCATCAATCACTTATCCAAGCTTTCCATCTCTAACTTTGATTATTCAATTAGAAAAAGCTTGTGTGTCTCTATCTGCGCAAGAGGACGTAGATGAATGCAATTTCATATTCTTTGTCAGGGTATGAACTTTACTATATGGCCACAATTTTGAAGAATTAATGGTAGCACCTACAATTTTCTCTCTTGAAGTTTTAGGTAAAACAGTAGAATTTGCCAAAAATTATCTCATTCTCCCGATTAAGTGAATGTAGATGGTATAATAATTCGTTGGCCCATGGCTACCAATTTGGTATTACCTCTAATCAAAGCTTCTTGTATGCCACTCATAATTATTCCTCTAACTTGATCCTGGTTGAACCATGTTCACTGAATTCTCTGTGCTTCAACCATTGTATATATATGCATCATCCAAATAATTTAAAAACAATCTCTATGCAAACAACAGAATACCACCATCATTTTATCTTTCTTGTATTCAAAATGCAACAAATATTTTGTTATTTAATCCGAATAAAATCCAAAGAATAATGATAATGATAACAACAACAACAACAACAATAATAATACTATAAAATAATATTTAAAGCATTAGTTTCCAATTTCGAAAAAAGAGAAACAAATATATAAAATAAATGAACTATTATTGGCATGTATATGTAATAGAGCATTAATGATATATTCGTACACAATAAAAAACATTCTATATCTAATAAAAATCATGCTCCATTTTAAAATTAGTATTTTCCATTTTAAATTTACTATTTTACTAAGTTTTGTAAAAATTTTCAGATTTGTGACTCAAAAACTACTATTCTCCATCAATAATTCTCTAAAATGATATAGTGGTATTTATGTGTAATAATTTAATTTAAATTATTATTCACAATTGAAATATATATGGTATGATATTAATTATTAAAAATTAAATTACTATCAAATAGTATTTTTAAATACTAATCATTATATTCTAAAATGGTACATGTTTTATGTATTAAAAAATACATAAAAATTTGGAATTTATAATAAAAAATTTTAACGAATGAAAGGTATAAAAATATTTAATATTTACATGGTTAAAGCTAATAGTGTGAATATTAAAAGAAGAAAAATTAATATACCTGGTCCCTAATACTTTTTTTAAAGTAACACATGACGACCCTTCTCCATCTATATATAGAGCATTCATCATAACAATGTTGTACTAATATTTGTTTTATGGAAGAGTATAAAACTTTTTCATACTTTTTTTGGCATGTGTTATAATACATTTTTTATTTTTATACATGATACTCCATAGTCTTTCAAAAATAAAAGATTTGGGAAAGTAGATGTACGAATCATTATATAAATCTTTATTTTAAAAAGGTAATAAATAGAAAAACAGTGAGTAGTTGTAAAAATTTAAATGAAAACAAATTTAAATCCGTTAAATATTTTCAATATTATTTAAATTTTTTGTAACTGCACATGGACTTTTCCTTATTCGTTTAGATTTTTTTTCATATTTCTCAAAATATTTATATGGAACAACACATGGAATTTCCCAAAATTTTTTAAACTATAAAATAAATATGCATGAACAATTTAATTACATGTAAAAAATCATACAAAAAATTTTTTTACTACCAAAATTTTCCTATCTTGTTTAAAATTTAATATATAAATGTGAAAAAATAAAGTAATTATGTATATTGAAGGATTTAGTTATGGAGAATATCAACAATTTAAATATGACATGAAAAAGTTACAGTCACAAAAATATTTTGTTTGATTTTCTTATTCAAAAAGTACTAAACACATGTGTTACGATATTATATATTTTGTTTTTAATGTATTCTTATAAAATGAATACAAATATTTATAATGATGCACAAATTTGTTAAATATATTAAATATATTTAATATTATTGTATTATGATTTGTTTCCATACTTGTATAGCTTTCCTAGAATACCTCACAATGACCGACAGTGAGGTCACGTCTCAATCCTCCACCCAAAAACCTCCACATCTGGCTTTCTCAGTCTCTAACGTCAAACTCCATGTTCCAATTCAACTCAGTTTTTCTCAACCAAACTATAAGAAGTGGAGCCGCTTGTTCCTTCTCCTAGCACGACGGTTCAATCTTCAAGGTTATCTCAAAGGCGCTATTGCTCCCATCTCCGAAGACGACGACGAATGATTCCAACTTGATGCCATTCTCCAGGGATGGATTCTCTCCACCATCACGGATGAGGATTCAAAACTCGTTCTCTCTTCTGTCTCTAGTGTTTCTTCTCTCTGGACGATGATTCATGATTTGTTCCACGACAATAAGCATGCTCGAGCCATGCAACTCAAGCATCAATTTCGCACCACCGTCAAAGGATCTACCCCCATGGCCGCATATTGTCAAGAGCTCAGGAATATTGCAGATTGGCTAGATGACGTAGATGTCCCCGTGTCTGAGCACCAACTAATACTCTAGATATTGCGCAACCTCTGTGACGATCTACAAGCCCAAACTTCGTTTCTCCAATTTCAGGACCCCATGCCGAGTTTTCTCGAGGTGCGGTCTGCCCTCCTCCTTCTCAATCGGCAGCGGACTCCTCTGGGCGGAACCAGCAGCACGGTGCTGCTGGCGGGTCGGGACGCCGGCAGCTACAGCGGCAGCCAGCACAGCGGGGGTGGCAACCGCGGTCCTCCTCACGGCGGCAGTGGGGATCGGCTTTTTGGCAGCAACTTCGGCGATGGCTCCTCCTCTGGACAGCGTGGTGGCTTTGGACGCGGACAAGGGCGTGGCAACGGCAATCGGGGTCGAGGTCAAGGGCGTTCAAACGGCGGTCCGAGACAGCGGCCATCAACGGACGTCCAAAGTACCTGGAATTGAACCTACCCAAAAACCCTAGCCCTGGGGTGCTGGGCCCCCGGCCCACACCCGTCACCCTACCATGCCCATTCCTAGTACACACCCACCCAACCCTCAAACCCGTCCCCCTACCCACCCCTCTCCCCCT